TTTTTTTCATGGAGAATTTATTCTTAGGGTCATTTTCAATCACAATATAAGTTCCTTGAAAAGAAAATGCCCAGCATACTTTGTTTAGGTAGAACAAAAACAACTTACAAAGAGAACAAAAATAAATGTCAAAAGCAAAAACACTAAGAAGACAGAGAAACTAACAAACAGGTGACAGGTTCTCAAATACAGGCTTACGCCCATAGTGTGTCTCATTAACCCTATGCAAGAATATTTGGGGTTCTGCTGCAGAAGCACAATGACATTTAGCAATGAGAACTGAGAGTCAGTGCATTATTCCCATCTGAGCTCTTCGGAAAGGAAAAGGACAAAGTGTTCTGCACAACTCAAGTAAGAATAAAGTATATTCTGAATATCAGGATATTAAAATTCCCAAAAGTGAGCTTCTTGGCAGAAAATGGCCAGAGTTATTTAAAGAGTGACTTCCCATCTTTAAATTCGCCCATTGAATAAAACAATATTAAACCGCTGCTTAATAATTCAAGGCCCGTCACTTCCTTCACTTTGCTCCAGCGCAGAGCTTAATCACACGCAGGGCTCCCTGCATGCAGTCTCCAAAGGATGAAAACCTAATTCACTTATTACAGAAATAACTCCCGACTTTCAAAAGGTTCCTCTGAACTAAAACAACCCCTGAGAATTCCCTTATACAACCACCTCCCACCATATGTTTATGTGCACTGCTTATAAGTGACTTTGCAGTTGTTCTCTCTTCATATTATCTTGGGCAGAAACTTCTTTAAAATACTTTCCATCGATCTTTTATCGCTTGACATTCTGAAGAAAAGAGGTTAGACGATAAAATAAAAAAAAATCACTTGTTTGGCATATTAAAACTTGTGGCAGCCAGTTGAGTAGGTATTTATATAAATTGTAAAGAATTATGTGTCTGGGTGTAGATTCAGATTTCAGATCTTAAAGAACTGGTGCCTCTCAGGCAGTTCAGAGGACAATGCTTGTCTTTGCTCAGCAAGAAAGCAAGCTTTTATTTATTACTGTTTTATCAAGTAAGCTACAATTAGTAATATTCTGCTCTGAAATATGTATCTACACTTGATATATCCTATTAAAATGTACCCAAAAAAAATGGGTTAGCTTTATTTCAGAGTGAAAAATGTTAGGTAAAGCTGAACAAAAAAGCAGTTTCCCAATCGAAGATAAATGTGTGAACTTGCAACCCAAAGCACCAATAGAATTGGCTTTTATTTTTCCCCAGTTTTACAACTATTCCAAAGAACAATCTAACTCACAAAGTATCAATAGTAGTTCAGATACAAGGTTCTATAAGGATTGCCATTAAAATGTTTAATGTGCAAAATTCAAGTGGAAGTAACGATGATTTACAATTACAATTAATCTAAATTTTAAAACTAGGTCCCTAAAGTATAGAAGGATACTGATAATATCCTGAATTATATTTCAGGAGTAGGTGAGTAATTCATTCTCATCATTTGGAAAAACTGGCGAAACATCCATCAATATTAGATTGAATAATATATTTTTAGATGACAAATGAAACATTAATTTCCAACCTTCAGTTAGTTCACAGTGTTTCTATACATGAATAGTAGTGAGAAAAATGTAACCTGCCCAGTTACCCATGCAAAGAAATTTCACCATCTAGTCACATGTTCATTCTTTGGTGGGGCGAAAAACATTTGACTTAATATGCTTATAGTTATGAGTGCTTTCAGTTAACTTCAACCCTAAAAATAAGGAGTCACAAGGGCTAGGAGTGACCCAGTATCAGGAAAATGAACTAGCAACAAATTCCAAGCAAAGCATTGTCTAATTGGGAAACCTCACCCTCATTCTTTAAGCCTTCCAAACTTTCCGCCATCTCAGATCTGTCTAATCATGAGCCCATTAAGTTGTCGTGGCTGCCATGAAGATGAAACTGACAGCGCCGTTACTTGAGTCAGTTTAGAGAGGCCCAGGGTGGTTGAAGGGAGGAATTGGGAGGCCTGGGGTGCTAAGAGAACATCCCAGCTCTGGCTCCCGAAGATCCCAGGAGCACACAGCTGTCAAGAGCACAAAGCTGCACGCAGAGAAAACCTTGGGAGGGAAACAGGGATTTGCAGAATGTCAACAGTTTCATCAGGCACTGTGGGCCCTTCCACCTCTTGTTTTACCGTTGTTAGGATTTAAGCAGCAGAGAGCTTGTGAGTTGATCACACAGCCAACACATGCAGTTATGTAGTCTCTGTAATTTGATGATCATAGTAGAAATTATTTGGCATTTAAATGTGATTCCTGGTGAAACCTAGATTTTCTCTGTGTCTCTTCACAGAAGACGTTTGCCTAATTGGTCTATACTATTAAGGCACAAGTGAAATCAGGTCCCTTGCCCCCATTTTGTTAAAAAGAAACAAACCCACAAAACCTATTAAGTGGCGTCTATGTATACCATTGGCGAGAGCCTTCTTCTAGAAGATATCATGAGAGTTCTATAAACTCTCCAGGAAATGTCCACAATGTTAGCACTAATTGACATCATTACAGGGAACATATTTTGCTGTTGTTTTAGCGAGGGCACTCTTCCAAGATGAGAATTATTCCCTTTTCAGCTGCAGAATTCCTTGGCAGTTCCAGTCTAGCCTTCCTGTTGTGGTGGAAGATATCATGCCGTCCTCACCAATAATAACAAGAAAACCTGTTCTGTGTGGTGGTGGGGGGGGGGTGGCAAGAGAGTGGGCGCTTAATCATGTCTCAGGGTACAGAATAAGCACCGAGCAGATGTAATTTCATTTACACATTCCCGCATCAGAGGCATTGTCATGACTATTTTACAGAAGATGTAATAAAGATTCAGAAAGTTTAAATACTTTGCCAAGTAATAGTGGAGCTGGGATTCAATCTGCCAGCTCTTAACCACTTCTCCACATTGCTTCCTAGTTGTTAGCACCACAGAAGGAATAGGCCAAGGATCTTTAAAACGTCTCTCTTCCCTTGACTTCTCTATCCCCATGTTTAGAGTACCGTTAGAGGTAATATACAACACAGGGAGCGTCAAAGAGGTACCAGTTAGGTTGAGAAATCAACTGGTGAAAATCCAGATAAATTAGAATCATAGGATTTTAAAACTGAAAAGTGTCCTTATATATCTTATATATTCTTGATTCAAATTCGCATCTTTTACAGGCAAAGAAAACATGCTTCAGTGATACTAGTTGTCAAATTTTCTGAGGTGACAAAGCTCATTAGTGGCAAGAACTTGAACCCAAACCTAAGACTTCCATCTCAGTATTCAACCTATTTACCTCTACTGCATCAATAAATTACAGTATTATGCAGTTACTATTAGCTTTTTCTAAAGAATAAGATATACAAGCTTATTTGATATACATTTAGTCAAAACATTTTGTGACTAACTTTGTCTACATCAGCTCTTTACATTGTGACTTCATAGATGGACAAATAACTAAGAGATTACTGAAACTATACCCCCAAAACTGCCAACATTCAGGACCAAATGTAAACATCCATTCATAAATGTAAAACAGTTCAATAAAGACCAGCTCTGTGTTTACACAGAACAAAGTTACATTTGGTCACCTGTGGAGAGGCACGGCACGTACAGTACACACAAGTCAATTAACATCCATTTCTGGAAATGCTTTTCATAGAAGCAGTTTTGTTTATATTCTATGGTAGAAGTTCTGAAATATACAAGATCCAGGCTTTCTCGGAGGCATCCACTATTTTGTAATTTTTTAAGGAGGAGTATTATTGTTACCCATTTTAAAACATTAAGTGAGAAATGGGTATTTTTGCTATATCACTAAAAATTGCCATTGCTTTTAGAGCAGAGGCCTTGAGTTCTATTTTTAGGCCCTTTTGACCAGTGCTGCCTAGGAAGCCAGGTTGAAATCAGAGGTCTTTATTTCACACAGGGCACTTACTACTCAAGTGACCGTGATGAAATATTTCCATACAAATCCCTACAGTCACTTATGTTTCATCTTTGTCCTCATATGCTACACTACACCACCTGCTATATTAAAAAACACACACAAAACTTTAATGTCTATAAAGCCCTTCTTTCAATTGATACCTATAGATTTTCTGCCAATAATTTATTATTCTAAGTATGTGATAGCTAATTGAGTGAGGCATTTGTGGTTACTCTATACAATATTTTAGAGAAAACTATAGAAAATATAGATTAAGTAAATAATTATTTTTTGGCTCATGCAGTTCTCCCTGGTAATTAATAATAATAGTAATAATAATAACCAACTATTAAATCTACACAGGAAAAAAATGTTTCAAGCTTATGAGACTATGCACCAAGAAGATATAATAAATACCCTTTAAGTCAATAAATTTTAAAGGTAACTAATATAGAAATAAACATAAAGAAATTGCACATTATGGTGCATATAGACATCATTTTATTATTATCAAGTTAAATATCTTTTTTAACTATTAGTATTGGTGATCTTCTTCCATCAGTGAGAACAGATTTTTAGAAAAAAAGATAATGTGTTTCAAACAGCCAAACACCTCTATATTCTTATCACTCCCTATACTCAATGCCTCTTTAAAGCTGTTAAATGAAAGACTAAGGCACAGCAATAGTTCCAGTTTCACTGTACACTTATGTTTAAAAATACAAGTCACACTGGATATTTAAACAGAGATGTACAGCCATAAAATCCATTAGGTTAGCTTCATGTAATAAAAAAAATACTGTCTCTGAATACAATGAATCACAAACATCTGCATGTTTCTGAAACACAGGACCAGTAATGCCTAGTGTGTACCATAAGTCACCATTTCTAGGCAGCGGCTCTATTTCTATTGAGAGAGAAAGGGATAGTAAGCAGTTTACACATCAAATGATGTCTTTGGTTTCTGTAATTTCCATTAAAACAACATCAGGTTAAAACAGCAGTATGAAGATGACTTTAAAATAAGAAAAATGATGTGGTAGTCAGATCGTATGGTGCAGATAATTAAAGGTTTTGCCAGCTTACCTGATAAAAGAGAGCCTCAGGGATCACAGCATAACAAAGCCCCGCATCCAAGATGGTTAGAGTGCAGTGTGCCTTCTCTTGCAGTTGTTCACATTTTTGGCCACAGAGGTTTACAAATTAATTACAATGTGTGTGTTTTTCTTTATTTCTCTGTGGACAAAAACACAAAGGGACCTTTCCAGAATCCTCTCTGCTATGCCTCCGCTTCCTGTTCTGAGATTCACTCTATGGTACCCAACATATATCAGAAAACAGCTTTGAGGGGAAAAAAAAAAAAAAAAAAAAGGCTGACAGAAACCAACGGGGTACCGCCATCTACTGGTAGACATAAAGAATTGAATAAAAGGAAAAACAACCCCATTATTCTTTATCATAAAGTAAAACAATCTGTATGTACAAAGAGACTCTTGCATACTCAATTATTTGCACCTCTTAATATGTTTTCAAATATTCATAAATTTACAATGTTGGTTCAGCCATAAAGTAGCACAATAAACAACAAAAAGCCCTACAAATTTCTGTTTGAAAATTAGTTTTTTAGATTACCACACACTCTACATGTAAAGTTTTGCAAAATCATGACTCTTGTGGCCTGAAAACTTTTGCTTGTTATAGAATTAATTCTAAGTAAGTAATCTGACCCTATAAAGAACAGCATAACCCTGGCCTGGTGTCTCAGTTGATTGAAGCATAGTCTCGTACACCAAAGGTTGTGAATTCAATTCCTGGTCATGGCACATCCTTCGTTGTGGGTCCAATCCCCAGTCATGGCACTTATGTGAAGTAATCAATCGATGTCTTTCACATTGATGTTCCTATCTCTCTCTCTAAAAATCATTAAAACCATATCCTTGAGTGAGGATTAAAAAAAAAAAAAAAGAGCAGTATGATGTACTTTTGCTGGGAATATTTTTTAATTACTTTTTGGTAAAACATTTATAATAAATAACATCTGCATGTAGAAAAGTATTGTTAACTTTACTGAGTCTTAGATAATTTAGATCTGTGGATTACTTTGTTGTGTGTATCCATACAAGGTACAGTTGAAATTTATGTTACACGAGACAACACAGCAGTTATGTAATATATCTATTTCTTTAAAATATTTCAGAAAATATTATTTCTGAGAATATTGAAGCACACAATATAGAAGCAAAATAATTTTTGTCATTTTATTAAAAAACATTTCTCAGCTAATCAAATGCTTTCCTTTCATTTGACTTTTCATATTTACTTAGCAAACAACTGTAATTTATTAGTTTATTGTTAAGTAGAGGTCTAGTTCATGAAATTTATGCACAGGTAAGGTCCCTAGGCCTGGCCAGTGATCCGGGACTATCTAGGCCTCTCCTCTGGCATTTGGGGCCTTCCTCCATTCCACGCCGCCCCCTGGTGGTCAGCACACATCATAGTGAGTGATCCAACTCCTGGTCTCCCAGTTGAATTCCTGAAGGGACACTTTACATATTAGCCATATATATATATATATATATATATATATATATATATATATATATATATAAATTAAATACATTCATATTAATGGAACACCTTAATTGATGTAAGACACTGTAATTAGCTTCAAAGAGACAAAGATAAAAACACACAGTTCCTATCATCAAGAGGATGTACAATGAAGAGAGACAAATATAATATTTTGGAGCCATGTGCTCAAGGACTCTATTTTTCCATTCCATGCCTATTTTGCCTAATGGCAGAAAAATAAATGTGGTCAGTTCTGGGTAGATTGAATCACTTGAGACTTTTCCCAGTGATTTTGGGAAAATCACTAAACTAATGCATGGTTTTCCTCTTTTATCTCTTCCCATGTGCACTCATCTACCAGGTAAGTCCAGGAACACTAACATATCTGGACTTTTGTATGTGGGCATCCAATGAGGTGCAAAATCCAGTGTGATCCTCAGGCATCATCATTCCTCCACACAAACATCTGCCAATGTGCCCATATTCCTGTTCAGCCACAAACACCCCATCAATTTAGTTTTTCACGGCAGTATTTCCTCCTCATGACCTCAGAGTTTGTTGGCTTTTAACTTCTGTTCCTGCCCTGGGGGAGTAGGAGAGAAAAACAAGTAGCATCTGTCTGTTGTAGGGGGCGGGAACAGCACCAGGTGTCTGACCCCAAGCAGTCAGACCAAACCTGAGTTCTGCAACCTTGGTACTTGGGTTCTGGCTATGAAAGAATTCAGAGCCAAGACCCAAACTGTAAGAGAACATTTATTTGGTAAATCACTGAGGTGGAAGAAGTAATTCCTAGAAGAAATGGGCTTAGGAAGCAAGTTATAGAGGTAAAGAAAGGGCCTTTGGAGCTTGGGAGTGAGGAAGCAATGGTAACATGCCTGGGGTGGAGGAGTGGGAGAGAGAAAGGGAAAAGGAAAGGCCCAGGCTTGCTCCCAGGAGGTCTAGATCCTCTTCCTAAGGGTTTTAGGAGCAGACATTTTAGGGAAAGTCCCTGGGAAAGACTTAATAGAATATTCAGTGTCCTTTCAGGGTTGTGATCTCCACTAATTTATTGGACGGCACCAGTGCAGGGGGTCATAATTCAATGTAGCTGCCTCTGACATCAGGGTTGGCTGGTTGTGTTGCTTATCTGGGCCTGAGCTGAAATACAACTGAGGCCTATATGTTATTGAAATGAGTTTTAGGGACAAAAGAGGCAGGTTTAAGAAGGTTTCAGGAGTGAGGAGGGTCCATCCAGAGGAATACATAGATGGAGACTTGAAGACGCCAGGGTTTTATCTTACCTGACAGAGGATAGAGAAATGTCACAGGCAAATGGAACTATTTCTGGCCTAAGCAATTAAAGCATCCATAAACCAAGGACAGACAGGGGTATCTCTGGCATGAGCAATTAAAGTGATCATATGTTAGACCAAAAGTAGTCCTAACCTGAGAAGCTGTAGGATAGGGCATAACTGGGAGAAAACCATAAATGAAAAGTGACTCCAACCAGCAAGATAAGGCGAGAGAGAATATGGGGTGTGGTGGGGCACCACGTGGGCTTAAAGCTTTGAAACTAATTCTGTGTAACGGAATGACCAATGAGGAAAGCTGGCGGGTGTGTGTGTGTGTGTGTGTGTGTGTGCGCGCGGGGGGAGTCCCAAATGAAGGAAAGTGATCAATTTAAAAAAGGTCAGATTCAAGCAAAGAACTGGCAGCATATACACTAAGTGGCCAGATTATTATGATCTTTGAATCATAATCATAATAATCTGGCCACTTAGTGTATATCCTATATAATAAAAGGCTAATATGCAAATTGTCCTCTCTACTAGAAGTTCAACCAGCAGGCAAGGTGGGCCAGCCAACTGCCCATGTCCCCTCCTCCTGGCCAGGCTGAACAGACCCCTCCCATGCACCAGGACATATATTAGAGGCCAGGTGCACAAAATTCGTGCACTGGGGTGGGAAGGGTGTCTCTCACCTCAGCCTGCACCCTCTCCAATGTGATACCCCTCAAGGAATGTCTGACTGCCAGGGAGGGCAGGTAGGGGTGACCAGGCCTTCAGGGGAGGGCAGTTAGAGCAAACAGGCTGTCAGGAGAGCCGTTAGACATCAATTAGGCTGGCATGGGAGTGGTTAGGGGATGATCAGGCTGGCAGGCAGAAGTGGTTAGTGGCAATCAGGAAGGCAGGCAGGTGGGCAGTTGGGAGCCAGCAGTCCTGGATTGTGAGAGGGATGTTCAACTTCCTGTTTAGGCCCAATCCTACCTGGTTTGTGTCAACATAACTCCAATATCATTTCCATGATATTCTCTCTGGATCTCCGCACATCATCTTCCTTGTGCCTGCTTGTCTCTGTGTCCAAAGTGTTTCCTTTTTATAAGAATACCAGTCATTATAGGCTAGAGTACACCCTAATACCCTAATGATTTCATTTTAGTTCGATTCCCTCCCATAAGACCTTATTTCCAAATAAGGGCATAGGGGATTAGGACTTCAACATATCTTTTTTTTTTCTTCTTTTTTTGGGGGGGAGGAGGGAGGACATGAAGACACAATTCAACTCATAACACTTAGACCGAAGCTTTTTTAAATATTTTTTATTGATTTTTTTACAGAGAGGAAGGAAGAGGTATAGAGAGCTAGAAACATCTATGAAAGAGTAATTGACCAGCTGCCTCCTGCATGCTCCCCACTGGAGATGTGCCCGCAACCAGGATACATGTCCTTGACCAGAATCAAACCTGGGACCTTTTAGTCCGCAGGCCAACACTCTATCCACTGAGCCAAACTGGTTTCAGCAAGCTTTTTAAATTTAAAACACAATCTGATGATTATTTTATATGTTTTCCATGACAATTCCACTGAGGAAATAATGGCCTTGCTATCTGGCCAAAATTTGGGGGAGTAGCTGGGAGGCAGAGCCTCAGGTAATAGTCAAGAAATCCAACAATAGTAACAATAAAAACCAAAATTCATTCAGTGCTATGTACCAGACACTGTTCTAAGCCGTTTGCATATTTGTTTAGCTCTATTGCATAGGAGGTATTATTATATACATTTTAAAGGTGAAACAAATATGGAGGGAAGTAAAAACACGTTAGTATGTCACATGTCATCTTGCCACACAAACAATTATAATTGAGTAGGATAACTGCCATGACACCAACATGGACCAAGTGCTGGAGGAGCATACAGGAAATGAGCTCCCAATAATTTAGACCTCTGCTACTCACACTTTTTGTGTGAAAATTTATTATCTTTTACCATTTAATTGCATAAGTTTTCTGTCATATTTCCACTTTCTAATAACTTTTATCTTAGGACTACTTAAATAAATGTTAATTCTGCCAGTCCCTAGCACTCCGTACTAATTTCTGAATGTAATAGAAGTATGTTCATTCTAATCCTTACTTTTAAGAATCCATATATTCGAAAGTTTCCTGGCCAGTATTTTCTGAGAAACAAATTTCTTAGATGATTCGAGGCTGTGTGTGTGCTAGCATGTGTGCATGCGTGTGTGTGTGTGTGTGTGTGTGTGTGTGTGTGTGTACTTTTTGAGGTAGGCAGTTAGACAGACAATATCAGAGCAAGGACGATGGGCCAGGTACAGAAGATCAACAGGGCAGAAAGCCCCAGATGCCTAGCAACTGGCAGACTGTGAAAACAAGGACTTTGCCCCAGGGTGGCCTTTCTTCCCCTGCATATCATGGTCATGCCTTTGAGCCTCTCTGACCTTTCACATCACTGGTCATATGGCTTGGCCCCTCCCCTGACCTTCCTCCCCTGATATGTTGCTAATAATTCCATACACCCCTTTAGAGGAGGAACAAAGGGCTGAAGAGTGGCCTCAGGTAACTCCCAC